TTGGGGATGTGAGGAGGGAAGAGCTGCAGGCACTTGGCAGCACATACTCACCCTGTGAGCTCCAGCTCCTCACTGCTGCTAACATGCTCCTAGAAAATTATAAATGGGAGTCCTCAGTTTGTCTTTTGCTCTGTTAATTAATAGGATTCGAGCATTAAAAGTGCTCCCTCGGAGTCGGCGATAGGCCCTTTGCCACTCATCCAGGCCCCTTGCCACTCATTCCGTCATCCTGGCAGGTCAGTGTAAACACCCTATGTTTTACTGCCATTCCCAGATTATTCCTCTGCCTTGTAATGATCTTCCCAGGGGATGGCAGGGGATTAATTCCAGGTGCCCGTTCCTCTGCAGATGGTGCCATGCCCCAGCACTGAGCAATGCAGAGCATCCCCTGCCACATGAGAACACCACCGATCCGAGGTCCCTTTACCCGCTGAGGAGAGCATGAAGCTGGGTCCGTGCTGCTCTTCCTCCACTCCTTTTGTAAGTGAAAGGGAGGAAGGACTGGCTCTGTCAGGATCCACTCTGGCACGCTCAGCACCACGGCAAGGGGATGAGGCTGTTTATTCGCAGGGGTTTTCTCCCTCCTTTGGTGGTTTGTAGGAGGACCATGAGCCTGCATGCTCCAAAGCAGGCAGCTTCGGGTTTGCCCGTACCAAAGAGAGGGAGAATTGTTTTGCTTGTAGCTAAAATACCCTTTCTGCAAGATGCACCTATATGACTTAATCTCCCCCCGGGGCTGGGCAATCAGTGCACCTGCAAGACAGGGAAAACACTGCGTTCTCCTTCGGGGCCGAGATGCTGGGAGCTAAAGCAGAGATTTAAAACCCAAGTGGCTCCAAAAACCCACAGTAAATAGCCTCCATCCATCCTTCCTCCATCAGGCCTGCTGGGAAGGCAGCCTTCCGCTTCTCCCCTTCCCAGGCTGAACCCTGGGGAAAGTTGGGCGAGTAAGTTTTCGGAGCTGGAGGGAGGGCGGCACAGATCGATTGGCGAGTTTAATAGGATCAGGTCAGTGTAATCCTGTTTTAGCCATTGTAATTCAGGCAGCCAAGGAGACCTCAAACTATAGGGGAAGGGGCTTTTAAAACCTCAGCGGTCCTGCCACAAAGCCAGAGGCTGGGGCTGGGACAAAAGCGGGAGAGAGGATGAAGTGGCTTGAAATAAATAGATTAAGGCTCTCTATGGGCCAGGCATAGCAGGAGGGAGAAAAGAGCAAGCAAGGGGCGGGCAAGCATCCCGCGGTGGCGGGAGGAGGGGGACGGGAAGGGACCTCGCACCCATGGGGGATGCAGGGTGGCTTGGCAGAGCATCAGCATCCCCTCCTGCATCCCCTCCTGCCCTGGGGCAGCCAGTTGCTGCACAGGGTGGGTTTCTGCCTGGGTTGGGGGCTGGAGTTTCTCCACCACCAGCACCACCGTGTGTGTTTCCGAAGGGTTGGGATAGGCAATCAATTTTTATGATGTAATTTATAATTCATACAGGTTGTCTTCGTACATATGGTGTTGCTTTTCTGTGTCAGGGTGCCGGGTGCTTTATGACAGTGACGGTGGGAATTTGCATTGGCGGCCGCTTACCGGCCTCATCGCTCTCCTCTTCGCCGATGAAGATTGATATGGCCCTGTGGAAGCATGTGCAGGGATGGGGGAGTGATCCTGCAGGACAGAGAGCCCCAAGGGGTGCATGTCTATTGCAGGGGGGTAACGTGCACCCGTTGGGAAATGGGGAAGATGCCCAGCCCTTGGGTAGGGGCTATTCCCAGCAGGGGGACAGATTCCCTCAGTCCTGTCTCCAGATACTAGGGGTGGCCCCACTCAAGGGGGTGCTTGGAAGGGAGACCCCCTCTATCACAGAGGGTAACCCCGACGGAGGGGTTATTTGTGCCCTCCACCCAGGCACAAAGGAGTCCTTGTCGGTGCATGCCTCGGGGCAACAGGGGCAGATAAAAGGCACTAAAGTGAGCCTGCCCAGTCCCAGCTGAAATCATTAAACCAATTAAATCAATACAAATAAAAACAAGGCAGAAGCTGCTCCGTCCCTTCTTGGGAAGTAGGAGTCGTCCCTCATCCCCTGCTCTGGCATGCACTGACTTCATCTGGTCTCTGTGGCAGCCCCGGCATGCGGTGAGTTTGCTGGGTCGCTGCAGTGAGGGGATAAGGCATTGGGGGGATGTATTTAAAACCATGATGTCTTATTTAAGAGGGAGGCAGCAAGCTCCTTGCTTGGCCTGAGAGGGGTTGTCCCCTCCGGGCACATCCCAGCGCTGCTGAGCAGAAGTGCCTTAAAGGTTATATGTGTGTATATATAAAATATCTCTATAAATGTCTATGTTATATGTGTATATATAAAAGGGGTTCTCCTAAGGCAGGCTGGAGGCGAGGAGCGGGCAGCTTCCCTTCCTCTCCCACTTTGGGCTGCCGCAAAGCGGGCCGGCATTTCTGCTGCGCTCCCTGAGCAGTGCAATTATTTGATCTGCAGATGTAAGAGGAATTTATTGTAACAACAAATATAGTGATGTCAAAACCCAACCTTGGATTAAAGCCGGCAGCCAAAGGGGAAGTGTATTAATTTCAAACAGCATCAGAGGCCAGTGCCTATTAGGACGAGCTATTCTTCAGACCCCCCCATCAGGATTAATCATTGGGAGTTAATTTGAAGCTCAGACAAGTTGCTGTTAATTTAGTGCAGGGAGGACGGGATGGAATAAAAAGCTGAGGTGCTGGCCGGGCCTCCTGGGTCTCATTAATCAGCGAGCTGAGACGGCCTGGCTTGATTACAATTTGCAAAAAAATTCATTAGAGCCCGGGCGATTGACAATTTTTCTCTCTGCCTCTGATCTGACTCATTAGGCAGCCAAATGAAAGCCATGATGATGGTGATGATGACAGCTATCAACCCCCTCGCTTGTTTATCTCCTTCTCCTCCGGCCCGGGGGCTCCCCCCTTCCAGCCCCAAAGCCCCGTTCCTGTGTACGGGGGGGTGGGGATTGCAATGGGGGACCCCAGCTCGCGGAGCAAATAACTTTCCCGTGCCTAGGGCAGATGTAGAGGGAGGGATGCCCCGCGGTGGGGTTGGATGGGGGGACACGGGGGTGAGGAGCAGCTGCTCCTCCCTAAAATACGACACCCCACATAGCCCAGTGGGGGGGTACAGCCGGGCTGCCGTCTGCCCTAGCCGGTTCCGGGGTAGTTGCGCTTCCCACGAGCATCCCGTTTACACCAAAAGCAAAGCCAAATACGTTAACGTACTTAATAATCACGAAAGGAAAGCGAGATCCGAAGAGGAGCAGCCCTGGGAAAACCCGTCAGGAAAGGACTGCGGCGGGGGGGGGTCGGGTGGCATCAAGCGTGTCCCGGCTCCCCGCTCACTCCCGAGCAGAAACGAATCCGAAAATTATCTTTATTATTATCATTATTATTAATAACATCTTTTCAAACGAACCAAAGGAGCAGGGTTTGGTTTCGGGGGCAGCGGCTGGTGGGAGAGGGGACCCCCCCCCCCCCCAGCTCCAACCCCCCGGAGCCGCCTCCAGCCCCTCCGAACCCGGCCCCGCAAAATAATAGTGATAATAATAACGATAATAATACTAATAAATAGATGATGAAGCTCAAGGGCTGTAACTGATGTGACCACCGCCGAACCTCGGTGTACCCGCCGCAGCGTGCCCCGCGAGCCTCACCGTTACCTCTGGAGCGAATCGCTCCCTTGGTTGCCCCCATCCCTCTAGTTTAATTTCAGGGCTCTTCCCCGCACCCCGTTTTCCTCGGAAATTAATGCTTTTGCATCCCAAATAGCCGCCGCCAAGGAACGGTTTCACCGGCACTGGATGTGTAAAACGGGCGAGAAAACGGGATTAAAAGGATGCAAAGGGGGGAAACGGGGGGACACAAGTGGGACTCCCCCATCACCGCTCCCGGGCCGCAGCGTCCCGACCCCGTTAAAGGGGGGTATGTGTGACCGTGGGGCAACACCAGCGGCTGCACCCCCAAAACATGGAGATAGGGGATGCCGGGGGGGGGGGGGATATGGGGAGTGCTCCTGCCTCCTCCCCATTTATCTGCACAAAAAGCTTTTTTTCCCCTGTTTTCATACACGCCCCCAGAAGAAAAGGAAACTTTTTTCCCCATTTCTCCCCTCCCCGACAATAAATGTGGCTTCGCTATAATAAGGCGAGAGGAGCATCGGTCCGCTCTGGCAGCGCAGGAGGGGGAAAGAAAATCAGCTCCACGGCAGCTCGTGGACAGAACAACCGGGGGATGGAGGGCTTCTTTTTTGTCTCTTTTGTTTCTTTGTCAGTTTTTATTCACAAGACTTAGTTTGCTTTTAAATTTCATAACTTATAAGGAAATAAGCTACATTGAAATAAATTAAACACAATAGAGAAGATCGTGCTATTTTTCTCCCACCCCCCCCGCCCTCCCCTCTTTCTCTCTCTTGTTAAACATGGCTTAGTAGAAGAGGCAAACCAAATCGACAGAAAGCCAGGCAAAAAATAGATTTAAAAACCCGTCCCCCAGTGCCTGCCACTGAGCCCTCGGCCATCAAATCAAACAATAAAAAAAAAGGCATGAAATGAAACTCTTGGTTCTCTTTCGGTTTTGTTCTCTCGTCTTTGTTTGTTTTGGGTTATTTTTACCTTTCTCCCCCGGTAAGAAACAGAACCCCCAAAGAGTGGCTAAAGGCAGGTTTCGCTGGGGATATCGCTGCCGATGAGGAGGGGGGGAGCACGCTGCTGGATCCGGCGCCGACACCGCGTCTGTGGTCCCCATCGCGGCCAAGACAGCAACGGGGCAGCGTGCTAATAAATATGTGCGTGTCTCTTCCCAGGGTTTGATATTCCTGCTCCGGACCAATGCAGCTCCCAAGCCTCTGCCTTCTCAGACTCTGCTTGACTCTGTAAGTTTGGCTTTAAAGTTCGGTCGTGGTGGGGATTTGCAGCGCGGTCGCGTGGGATTTCGTCTCGTTGGTTGTCGGCTGCTTTAGGGGTTGTGTTTGTGGTTATTTTTCTGCTGCTGCTTTTTGTCTTATTTTTCTTTCTTTCTTTTTTTTTCTTTTTTTTCGGGTGGGTTGTTTTGAAACCCCGATTTTTGGAAAGTTTTCCCTCAAAAACTTGTGACTCTGAAGCAGCGCAGGGAGAGATCAGGGTCGGGCTTGCTCCAGCTGCTGGTGCTGACTCCTGATCGCAAACCTACTGACGTGCACCGGGATGGGGACCACGATCTTAGGGTTTCGGGAGGGCTCCCCTGTCTTGGAGTTGGCGTTGCCCGCCTTGACCCGTTTCCATTTAGCCCGTCTGTTCTGGAACCAGATTTTCACCTGCACCTCGCTGAGTTTGAGGGCGTGAGCGATCTGGGACCTCTCCGTCAGGGACAAGTACTTTTTGCAGTGAAACTCCTTCTCCAGCTCCAGCAGCTGCTCGCTGGTGAAGGCTGTCCGCCTCCGCCGGTTTTTGCCCGTGGATGTGGTGTTGGTGGAATTGGGGGGGTTTTGGGGGTTTTCCTCCAGCGCGTTGCCAGAGTCCTCTTCCTTGTGAGCCGCCTGGCCGGGGATGTTGTCGTCCGAGCTATAGTCTAGATCGCTGTCCATGGAGAAACTTTCCTCCTTGCCTTTCGCATCCTCTTCTGCTTTGGGGTCCTCCTTCCCCTGGCCCCGGAGAGCCCCGGCTGAAAGCGAAGCAGAGGCCTTTCGTTAGTATTCAGTACCCTCTGTCCCATGGCCACCGTGCTCCCCGGGCCACAGGTCCAGCAATCGCCCTAAAATTTTTCACTTTGCGTTTCTTTTTTTTGCGGCATTCGGATGGATTTATTTGATTTCTGTTATTTCAAGCGGCTGGGACTTGAAACCTTCCTTCTCCCCCTCCTCGGCCTTGCGGCCAGCGGACCCCCGCCACCAGTCCTGCTTCCCCCCAAGGGTGTCCCCCGTCTCTGGAGCTGCCCCATGCCACGACCCCCTCCCAGCCAGCCCCGCCGGCGTATGCTGCGCGGAGAGGACGGCGAGACCCCGATCCCCCCCCTCTCTTGCCCCGCCGGTGCCGGCGCTCACTCACCGAGGGAGGCCTGGACGGCGTCGGCGGCGGGGAATGGCAGGAGGGCTCCGTCCTTCCCCAGGAAGGCTTTGCCATCGTCGCCGCCGCCGTCCGGGGGGATCCCCTCGGCTTTATCGAAGTTCCCCGGGGGTGCGAACTTCCTGGCGGCCTCTTGGTGCTGGGGGGAGGCGGGGAAGGTGCCGGGCAGCGTGGCCATGAGGGTGGAGGTGAGGGCCATGCCCTGGGCCAGGCTGGAGCAGAAACCCGTGGGCAGGCTGGGGAGCTGGTGGTGGTGGGGATGCGCGGGGGGCAGCGCCGGCTGGAGTGCGCCCTGCGGTAGCGCCGGGGGCGGCGGGGGGGGCGGCGGCAGCACCACGGGCCGGTAGGGCATGAACATGGGGTAGCCGGTGTAGACGAAGTGGCCGGGGGCGGGCGGCGGGGGGCTGCCGATGAGCGAGTCGATGCTGAAGGCCGTGCTGCTTCCCAGCGGGCGCTGCATCATCATCAGCGAGGGCTGGAAAGCCGCGCTCATGCCGGAGCGGCGGCGGGAGCGACCTCCTTCCTCCTCCTCCTCCTCCTCCTGCTGCCGCCGCCGCTGCTGCTGCTCCTCCTCGGGGCCGCGCTCACGCGTGGGGCAGCGCCCGGGCAGCGCCGGGGCGGAGCGGGGCCGCCGCCCGCCGCCGCCGCCCGCACATCGGGGCTGGCCCCCGCCCGCCGCCGCGTGCGCCCCCGCGGAGCCCGCCCGCCGCCGCCGCCACCGCGCCGCTCTGCCCGCCCGCGCTCCCCTGCGCCCATTCACATTTTGCCCGGCTGGGAACCCTGCCCGCCCCACGTGGCAGCCGCCGCCGCCTGCCATTGGGCGGGAGGGCGGAGAGGCGGGGCGTAAGGAGGCGGACACGCCCCTAGCACCTCCTCTGTTCACACCCCCCTCCCCACGGCGCAGCAGCATCACGGCCGCTGGACGGGGCGGTCCACGCGTGAGCGGCCGCGGGCACACCGGGAGCCCGCGGTGCCGTCGGGGCCGCAGTGGGGTCCCCCCTGCTCCCCCGGGGCGTGTGACATTCATGCCCATCGGACACACCGATTTGATGCCTCCAAAAGCATTGAAAACCCCCTTTTTATTTTATTTTTGACAAAACCCCCTATTTTATTCATGCTTTTCTCTCCCTTCCCCCCCCCCCTTTTTTTTTTTCCCCTTTAAAAGCCCCCAAATAGGCTCCATGTGGTTCTGGGTAAAGTCAGCCCCTTGGCTTGGCTTTGAAATTGCTTCTGCAATTATGTAAAAGAGCCATTCAGCAACACGGCGGAATTAAAAGCGATGGAGGGCTGCTCCCTTTTCTCCGGCGAGCCTCTCATGTTGGCCGGCTCAAAGCCTTTTCCAACACGATGTCTTTGGAGAGGACAAAAGCTGGGACAAAAAAAAAAGGGGGAGGTGGGGGGGGAAGGAAAAAAATAAAAGCCCCTAAACTTGTAAATTGAACGTCAAGGGAACTTTACACCATTTCAAAGGCCATAAATAATGATAAAGGGACCAGGCGAAGAGGCAAACCCAGGCAATTAATGGAGGTTCCCAAGGAAAGATCAAGTGGTTTGGAAAATAAAATTAAATGCAAAAAGAGAGAGGAGAAGGGGGGGGGGGAGAAGAGGGGGTTTGGAGCTGGCTGGAGTTGGGATCCCTCCTGCCTTTGGGAAGTTGAAGCCTTCCCGGGACAATGGTGCTGACTGCGCCTCTGGGCTTAGTTTGGAAGGCTTTTGGGCACAAACCGCGACTCCAAGTGGTTTCTGGCTGAGGGGGGTATCCCCCTGAAGCAAGGGGCAGCGGCAGATCCTGTTCCTGCCTGGTTGGGAAGCTCCTAATGGCCCAGTGCTCGTTTCTGGTTAATTGATGCTCATGTTTTTCCAGAGTAGGATGGCAGATGTGAGGCTGGGGGGCTGCATACCCCATGAGGAAGGTGACACCTCCCAGCAGCTAAGGATAGGGACAGCCACACTCTGTCCCCCAAATCCCACCCTCCATGCCCCGCAAACCCCATGGGGCACATGGGGACAAGGCAAGGGGTGAGGGTGGTCCCTCCAGCATTGGCTGCATGGCCCAAGGAACACCCCCTTTCAAAGCAGCAGAGGCTTTACCCACCCAAAACATGCCAGCTGGGTTTTGTCTCGGCGGGGGGGGGGAGGTTTATCACAACCTCCCACCCAGCCCTCATCAAGTCCCATTTGCAGCCCCCCCCCCCGCCCCCCAAACCCATTCCCACCACTGAAGCCTGGTGGTGTCCCCAAAAAGGGGAGCTGCCCCCCACCCTACCCCTGGATATCTGGGTCAGTTTATCCATTTCCAGCCAACATCTGAAACCGTTCTTTTCTTGGCAGAAACGATTAGTGAGGGGGTTATTGCTTTTGGCCCTCGGAGCAGTTTCACCAGCCGGTCCTGCATCTGAGTCCCCATTCCTGGCTTAACGCAGCTTTTGGGGGTACCAAACCCACTGGTCACCCAAGGACTGGATTTAGGGGTTTTCCCCTCCCCAACACTGCGTTTCTGCTGGAGAAACGCTTTTTCCTGGCGATGTGGCAGAGACAGGGTTGGCGTCCACGGATGCAGCTGCTGCTGGGGATGTGTGTGCACACACACACTTTTGGGGCCCATCTCTGACTTCAAGGGACTGGGAAAAGTTTACTTATACAGCTCATTTCCATATGTCCCGGCTCCGTCTCGCGGAGGCCACCATATGTGCAGTGATGTAGTGCTGGGGATTTCTCCCAGCGCTGCACTGGCAAGACTTCGCTCTCCCCTGTAGATGCTTCATAGCCACACGTGTGGTTGTTTCTATCTGATATTTATTCCCTTCCACCCCTTCCCTGTGATCCAGCAGCAGGCATCCTCCGATCACAGCTCCTCTTTTGCCTCCCACCATGGTGGATGGAGGTGAGTTAAACCCTCCAGCCCCCCAGATCAGCAGCATCCCCACTCCTTCCAAATCCAACCGGAGCAGGCTGGAAATCCTTGCCGACAAGCAAAGCTTTCGTTTCAATAGAAAAGCGAGGAGGGGGGAAACAAAAATCATCTCTCTTCAGGAAACTGCCTTTGGTTGCGGGAAGGGGAGATAATTAGGCATGGTAATGTGGCAGGGCATGGAAATGTGTACCAACACCCAGCTCCTGCAGCTGTTTTTATTGTCGGCCCTCTTCAAAATTTGCCCACAAACAAGTGCCTTTGCAAGACGGGAGCATTATTGCAGGCGAGAATGGGCTTTTTGTTCGGCACATAATTAGCTGATTTTTCTCCCGGAGAAAAACGTCGGCGATCTCCTGATTGTCGCGGCGTGATTGTGCCTGGGAAGTGTAACAGGCGGGAGGGAGGTGAAGGGCAAACAGGGGAGCCCCCCCCTCGTGCCCCATGGAGGGACCCCTGCCGCGGCTGGGACATGGGAAGAGCCTTTCCCAGCAGGTCTAACTCTGATTATATGGTAGAAATCAGCACTTTGGAGGGTCATGCTTGGTTGGGAGGTGGGGGAAGTCCCCTGACTGGGCCGCACATGGGTGCAGACCTGGTTCTTCACGGGCGCAGCTTGAAACATGGTACCAAACGCTGCTTGGGGAGGCTCATGCATCACCAAATAGGGGCTGCTGAAGAGCAGGTGGCTCCTGGCGGATTCCTCCCCAAAATAACCTTCCCAGAAAAGGAGCATCAGATACGTGAATTAGGCAGGTTTTGGTGGGGATGTGCTAGAGAGATTGTCCCCCAGATCCGTGTAGGGAGGGAGATACAGCTCTTTGAAGGGAAGAGAAACAGGGGAGCCAGGAAGCAAGAATAAAACCTGGAGGTTCTTGAGCCAGGTGCAAGTCTATGGGGTGGCAGAGGTCAAGAGCATCCCTTTCACCTACCTGGGGGCTGATTGGCTGCTTCTGGCCCTTTGGGCACCTCCAGCCTGTTTGCAGGGAGCTGTGCTGTGGGTTTCCACGTGGGATACAGGGGCTCATATCCATCCTCCCACCGGGTATTTGGGGGTGTACCACTTGGAGCAGGGTCCACTCTGCTGCTGGGCCATTGAGGAGGGGTTGGGAGATGAATGAGGTTTATTTTGTAAAGGATGATAAACCAAATGACTTTATCAGAGGCAAAACTCAGGTTTATGGAGATCCTGGCAAGCTCGTTCTTGGAAGACACTATGCCTTCGCATGGGGAACGTCACCAAAAGCATCTCGCCCCACTGTGCCTTTATGTTTTTAAAGTGACTTTTCTAGGGAGGGGGTATGTAAGAGGGGAGACTGTTAGCAAAACTACTCTTTCCCCCGCAATCAGTGTGTACTTAATGCTGCAGGGATTAGGTGTGAGCCCTGAACACTAAAATAAGGGGTGCAGCCGGGGCTCTCCATCCTCTACCTGCGTCACCCCTGCAGCGGGGAGGCTGTTCTGTGCGTGGCCGTGGGTTTATTTCAGTGTGTTGGGGCTTGCAGGAGCTGGGAATAAGCGGGATGGGGATTGGGGAAGGAAGATTTGGCCACTGGCAAAGGTTGAGCGCCGAGGGGTGCGAACCACAGCCCCGGGAAAGCCTCTGCCGCCTCCCCCTTCGGATTCCAAGCACGGAAAGAGAAAAACCAAAACAAACCGATCCCCCCCCCCCCCAGCCTCCATCATTGGTCGCTTAATCCCATTAACTGCTTCCCGTGTTCCCGTTTGAACTGGGAGCGCGGCCCCGCGGGGAGCTGGGACTGCCCCCCCCCCCCCCCCCGTCGCTCCTAAGGGGGGGATCTCTTCCCCGCACTGTTGATGTGCTACGCGGGTTTGTTGGTTTAATTCTTTTTCATCTGTTTTGTTGTATTTCCCCCTGTTTGTGGGGTTTGTCTCTTTCGTTTTTTTGGGAACAAACTCGAAGGTTCTCGGGATTTTCGGGATGGGAAAAATAGGCTAAAAGGGTAAAAATAACGCCGTGCAGGTTAAAGAAAAGACATTTGGCTTTAGTAATCCCGACTCCTACCCCGAAATTCGTTCGGATGAGGGGAAAATGGGCGATTTTTCTATTTATATATTCCCCCCCCCTTTTAATTGATATGTACTTAAATAACCCGAGTCCAAATATTTTAAGAAGACCAAAGGAGACGCTGAACAAACCGCATCGCTGCGGAGAGATTCTCTCTAGCGGTGGAAAAGCCACACGCACTCCCAGGCACGGTTTTCCCGGGAAGATCGTGGAGAAATCCGGCAGTTTAAAAAAATCCCGACTAAAAGTCTCAAATATTCCCAGGTCAGAGGGGCACCGTCTCATTAAAACCAGCGCGGTCCTGAAACTGCACTGCAGACATTAAAGTGCAGTATTTTTCAATTAGAGCTGACGAATTCAATCAAAATTCCATAGATTAGGATGAAATGAGGCATGGGTCATTTACAGGGGAATTTAATTGCAGAGCCATTAGACAAATAGTATATTTGCCATTCTCACATTATCCATCATTTTAGACATCAATAGAAGGAACAGCATCTTTACTAATACAGCAGCACTTCCCAATCTCTGCCTGTAAACACTCCCTTTCCCCATAGCTCCTGATTATATCTGATTTCATTTAAAGCCATGGGGGATTATAAATGTTCCTGCAATCAGGTTCATTAGGACTACGAGAGGGGAGAAAAAAAAAGAGAAGGCGAAATCTCATTTCGGGTTGGGATTGCTTTGCG